TCTTTTCACTTGATATAGGGAATAGTTAAATATATCGGTGTTTCGTTTTGCCGCAAATGTATTAGCATTCTCAGAAGTCTGATCATACCAATTCCTGAGCTATAATTAGTTCTATGAGCTTTCAAAACAAATGTACAGCTACCGCGCAACGGTCTAGGTAGGGTTGCCACCTTTTTGAAAAGTGAATAAAGGACTACGATACTGACGGGCTCCGGTATACAAAAAATCCTTGTCCTCCTACTGAACTTCTAAAAAAAAAGTCCAGCTTGCAACAAAAAAATTGTCAACATAAAAAAAGCCTCAACTTGACATTTGCCCATAAAAAAAGACATTTGCCCGTAAAAAAGGACAGGTGGCAACCCTACTTAGGTGGAATATAAAAATCTACCCTTTGCAAGAGTTCAGGAGAGTCAACAAGGTCATTACCAGTTTAAAGAAAAATAAAAAAATCAATATATTTGTATAAGAGTACAATAGTGACAATTTAAAAGAACAATAATAAATCTACGTTGCACTCTTTCAAGCCTTTCAATATGAATTTGTGCATATGGTAACCAAATAACAATATTCACAAAGTCTGCCGAATGCCTTCTCACGAATCCTGTTATAAGGCTTTCCCAGTAACGTAGTTGACATGCTGAGAAAAAGATAGATCAGATTGAAATATAACCCCAAGATCTTTTATACTGTCAACTTTATTAATACGATTTCCGTGCAACTCATAAGTATGATTAATTAAGTTTATGTTAAGCCCCCTATAAAAAGACATTACGCTACATTTTAGGGGATTAATTATTAATCCATGCAAGTATTCGTTCACTGTCTAAAATTTTCTGTAGTACAAGACAATCAGATGGATCTTTAACAATATTATACTATTTGATATCATCAGCATACATTAAAACTTCAGTATCATTTAATTGTTTCACTACATCATTAATGTAAATGTTAAATAACAATGGACCCAAATGTAATCCTTGAGGAACCCCTGACATTACTGAATATTCACTAGAAATTGCATTTTGAATTTTTACACAACACGGTCTGTAAACTAAGAAATTAGCCAATTCAAAGCCTTTCCATAATTTCCTAAAGCATACAATTTACCCTTTAAAATATTATTGTGGTCAACTTGATCAAAAGCCTTTGTTAAATCCAGAGATAACAGTTAAATCCGTATAAATTGTATCCATTTTATGACCATCTTCTAAAGCAGCAACATAGTCGGTAAAAAGCATCAAATTGGACGTAGTTGATCTGCCAACGTGAAAGCCATGTTGTTTGCGTCTAATCACATTTTAAAGCTTTCCACTTAGTTGGTCATTAACAATACTCTCGCCCTTCAACGCTTATTTCTAGTTAAAATGAAAATTTTAATACATCTAATAAAAGTTTTTGATTAGATTTAATCATTTTTCCATGGTTTTTACTGTAATAAACCTTTTCTTCTGACAGTTAAGTCGGACTTTATTCATAGATGTATGTATTTTAATTGATTCGGAAATTTGTATTAGTATATAGAATCACTGAATTACACTCGATAAGCTAAGAGGTTGTTGAATAAATTAATTCGAGAACTGGAATCGACGTTTCTATTTGAACCAAAACAAACCCATTATAATTTTACAGTTATATAAAAATGGCGAGTGCATTAGAAAAACAAAGCATTATCTTTAAAAGAAAAAAATATCGTACTTAATGTATTTAATAAAGATATTTCAATATGGTTTTATTCTAAAAATATCAGTCCTAAAATCCTTGAAGGCAAAATTACTTGTAGTAGCAAGGCAACATAAAAACAATTTCAAAAAATATAGATGAAATGGCCCTATGAAAAAGGAGTTAAAATTTTCAGTTTGCCTCCCATTGAACTGATCTGGTCACAATACATAGGGTTGCCAGACGTCACGCTTTTGGCGTATTTGCCACGCTTTTTGACTTGCTTGTACACTTTTTATGCAAATACCACGCTTTTTTAAAAGCCGCAGAGGAACCGGATTTATACAAAAATAGAGAAATGTCAAGGTAAAAAACCCTCGTTTTTACGAAAAATAAGCTGAGGGCTCTTTTTTTAGAAATGTTCACAAAAAATGGACCTGATTATATAAAAATGCTCTATCGTCACGGTTGTCACGCTTTTCACTTTCGGAAATGTGGCAACTACATAGCCCTCAGAGGGCTATGGGCAACTCTAACAATAAAGGTTGTGCAAAATTTGTTTTTGAATGCAGTTTCAGATGTAAATGGAGAACATTGGAGAAAATGCCCTGATCGTGTGAAAAAGGTGGAAAATTCATTTTGGAAAGTGAATATGGCAATGGAAAACTTAATAAACCTCAGAAAAGACAATGATACCAGTAGTTATAGTGATGACAGTAACTTTTAAAGAAAGTTCTTGAACTTTTTATTTTTTTAATCTTTGATTTTAGGTACCTACTGAAGTTTAATCCAATTAACAACATATAATCCTCATTATTTAATGACGAAAAATTACTAGACCAAATTTTCTTTACAAAAGGCAAATTGCATTGAGATTGTTATCAAACCAGTTGCCGAATAATCATGAGAGAGTTTAGTACCTACAAGGATTGTTAATTAAGAGTTCACTTAACGAAATGTCCAAAACGCATGTCTTACAAAATTACATTAAAGAAGAATATTTGTCTTCGTAATGACACAACCAGCGAGGATGTCCACAAGGAGGAGTTCTATCCCCACTAATGTGGAGCCTAATCGTAGACGAATTTCTATGAAGATTGACTGACCTCGGCATACCCTGTCAAGGTTATGCCGACGACATAGTCATATTTGCTAGTGGCAAGTTTAGTAATATCCTGTGTGATATAGTTCAACGAGGACTAGAACATACCAAAAGATGCCGTGAAGTGAGACTTAGTATAAACCCTACAAAAACAACACTAGTAGCCTTTTCAAGGAAAAGAAAACTTAATCTCAAAACCGTTAAATTAGACGGGATAGATATAGAATGGAAAAATGAAGTCAAATATCTAGGCCTAACCCTGGACAACAAACTTCTCTGGAACACACATGAGAAGGAAGTAGTAAATAAGGCCACAAAAGCCCTAATGGTATGCAGAAACATTGCAGGTAAACAATGGGGATGTAACCCAAAAATACTGCGATGGATGTATACTGCAATAGTGAGACCAATCATATCACTTACGGGGCTATAGCCTGGAGTAACAGAACTAGTTTAGCTACTACGAGAGCTAATATCTCAAAAGTTCAAAGACTAGTCTGTGTTTGCATTACTGGTGCAATGAGAACCTGTCCTACGGCCGCAATGGAGGTGATCTTAAACGTCACCCCTCTACATTTGATGATAGAGAATGTGGCAAATAGGACACGATATATAGAATGATCAGGAACGGAGTAATCAGACGAAAGTCTACTTGCTTCAGGACTAAAGATAGAACAGAAGTAAAAGTTGGAAATGCTTTTGCCAGTTCTCCCACTTTATACACATAAATTGACAGGTTGTCAGCGGATCTCACCGAAGTGGACACGATACATTGGCGTACAAAATTATTTTATAGATGTTAATAACAATTTCGAGTAAATAGTTTAATAAATTGTGAATAGCTGTTGAAATTTTGTAAAATTATAATTTGAATATTATAATACATGTTTAATAATTATTTATAATCCATAAATACATGCGATTGTCCGGTTCCGCCGATAACAATTTAAAATTACTTATTCTATGAAACGACACTGGCAGGTAAACATTACTGTGAAATTCTCGGAGCCGCCCGACGTGGTTTGACGTTTACCCCCTCTCTACCTACCAAAAGACTTTTCAACTTTTACTTTCTCTATACCTGGGACATGCCCCAGGATGAAATACCCCCAGGAAAAATACCCAAGCATCTTTTAGGCGGAAATTCACGCCATCGAAAAGTAAATCCAGCTTAACATCGAGAGAAACTATCATAGACAAGAGATTATCATCATGTCCGATAGTCAAGCAGCCATCAAAGCGCTGAGCTCTTACGTATCAGCTCAAAAATGGTCTAGAGATGCCTAGAACAATTGAATGAGCTAGGCGAGAAAAATAGAGTTACTCTCACTTGGGTCCCGGGACATAACGGGGTACAGGGTAATAAGATAGTCTTGCAAGAATAGGGGCCCAAACACCCTTTGTAGGACCTGAGCCGTTCTGCGGTATCAGCAGTAATATAATATTAGGAGAGATTAAAAAAGAATTGGGCAGTAGAAGAACTGATAATTGGAACAATCTCCTGGGGCTAAGCCAGGCCAAGATACTTCTGGGTGAATATAACCAGAAAAGATCGGAAGCCTGCATCTGTCTGAGCAAGAACAGGCTACCTATTTGTAACAGGGATCCTTACCGGGCATTGCCTACTAAAAGAATACCTAAGTAAACTGAGAGTAGTAGAGGATAGTGAGTGCAGATTCTGTGAGGAGGAGGAGGACGAAACCTCCATTCACCTCCTAACTGAATGTGTAGCACTCCAGAATCCAAGTGCGCTATATCTAGGAGGATATCAAATAGAAGAGGGAGATTTACCTAACTTGAAGCCACTTCCTTGAGAAAGTAGGATTGGAAGGGTTGTTATAGGCATTGAAACATTTCCTTAGTGCATTGGCGACAGAAGGGGGCACAATAGATCTTTTAGGTTGCAGTGTATTAACACCCCATTCTCAACATAACATAATGACAGTTTTATTATCAGTTTAATATATTTTTGGTTACAACTATTATAGTTGAGCGAGATTTCCAGAAAAGTAAACAATTTATTTTGAAGTGTGACAACAGTCTAAAGCAACTCATTCATTCATAAAGCAACATGTTCACACAATCCCTGCTTAATTTAGTGGGCATCTCACTGTTTCTAATGTGACAGCCAAGGTGACAAATCTATCTGTCTAACAAAGCATGAATGTAATACACTTGCAAGTAAACAAATGCTTATTATGAATGAGAGGATTGATCAGATTTTAAATAAGACAATGTATGAGTAAAAAGATAATTTACTATTCAAAATTAAATGTATATAAATAAAAAAAAAATAGACAAATAGTACTGGTAGGAGGTATAACATGTAAATGATTTATGCATTCATTATTTTTAGCTATTAAATTACATTTACATCTGTATAGAATGAGCTTCACATTTTTTCAAAAGTTTCTTCATAGGGACAAGTTAAACATTTTCTGTGATAACTATCTTCTTGTTCATCGTAAGTTTCTTCTCCAAATTCATGTGTATGTGAAGCCTTATTAGTTCTGTCATAAAGACTGCTTCGCATTCCCTTTCTTAATTCTTTTAGCTGCTTTTCATATTTTTTACTCTTGGACATCACACGTTTCTCTTCCCTTAATTCTCTTTCTTGTTCAAGATTTTCTTCAGTACCCCAAACTTCTAAGGCCCTTTTTTCAACTTGTATTAACAAATAGAGCTTCATATCACCCCAGCGTACATTGTGAGGATTTTTTTGTGTAATGAATTTTAGAGGTGGCTCTCGTTTGTCCAAATCGCAATCTTTTAACAAATAGCTCTCCTTTGCTTCTGTTTTTGGTATTAACTTGTGAATTTCGGGATCTTTACAAGAATCGCAACATTTTTGTTCAAATTTATCATATAACCATGAGCAAGCAAAAGATTTTTTGCAGTTCTCACAAATTGGGCGATCCTCTTCAATTATGGGTGCCTCTGCTTGTATTAAAAGTTGCTCTAATTCATCTGGTTCGTCGACTTCTTCCAATAAAAAGCCGCCACCAGTATCCTTGTATTTGGTTGTTCCTATTTTAAGGGTAGTTGTTGTGTTTTCAGTTTGAATTTCATTATTGTATGGGTGAGACACTAATTTACTTCTTTTTAAGATTATTGCTTTTTGGCGGTTCCGTTCTATTCGTTCTTTTACTACTTTGGATATTTCTTCGGAGTCTCCAGACATTTTTAATTATTTGTGGTAGAAGATTATTACAATTAAACAGAATAATTTTTTGAGATTCGAGTTTTGGGTTTCGAGAACCTGTCAACAAATCGAGAAGACAGCAGTGTTACCAACCTGTACTCCTGTAGGGTTGTGTCGCTGAAGCAGTATCTGTTATTTTTGAAACAGGTTTTCACTTGGAACAGGTATACGGGGTATACGCCGAATCACGAAACTGTTCCACGGAATAGTTGTTTCGGACGACTTTCGGTGGACGGAGATTTAGTTTATTTTAAATAGAGGACTTCTATACAAGAGAAGTGCAACCAAGAATATATTTTGTGGATATTCAATATATCCAATATGGATATCCAACCATGGATATCCCAGGATATAGAAGATATTCGGATATTCAGCAAAATATTTTATGGGTATCTTTAGTAGAGGTTCATAAGTAACCAATGATTATTGAATAACGTCGAAAGAAAACAGCAGAGAAAAAATATTTTCAACACTCAAAATATTTTCAACGCTCTGCCTTTGATTTTGCTCACTAAGGAGAAAGTCGTCCTTATTAGGACTCTTCAGTAATCAATGGAAATTCTCGACTCCAGTCTCTAATGGAGTCCAATTGGGAAACAAATTTCGATCGAACTCAATTACGGCGGGTTGAGCATGAGTACGAGCGAAAGTGGTATCGCCATCTATACTTAGTAAGCAAAATCAAATAACATCTAGTGGATATCCACGATGGTTTGCGTTCGCGCCTAGACTTTGATATATTTAGTGGATGTTCATGGGATATTGAATACACCTTAAAAAAAGTAATTTTAAATATCTGACCGGTATTATTAGCCACAATGGCGTAATTTTTTAATAATTTGCTATATAATTACTATTATTTATGGACATTTGCATATCTATAAATTACATCTCATGGGTTTAAAATAGATATCCACCATGGACTGGACATTCAGTGGATATTGGGATGTTCAGTAGATATCCAAAGTATTTGGTGTGCTGTCTGGGAATGTTTTTAAAAATAAACAAATATCTTTATGCTCGAAGATAAGCATATGCTTCGAAGTTAAAATGTAGGCAATTATTTTTATTTTACTATTCAAAGGCTGGAAATTGGTTTTAAAACAAATTTTAGCTAAACCGATTCAAAATTAATGAACACTTGCCAAGCACCCAGACAACACACCAAATCCCAGAGATATCCACAGAATATATTTTGTGGATATCCAATATATCCACAGGATATCAGAAATATTTCGTGGAACTAATATAGATATCCAAATGTCCGTCTATATCCAGAATATAGAAGATATCCTATGGATATTCAGCAAAATATCTAATGAGTATCTCCAGACAATACAAGAAATCCCAGATATATCCATAGAATATATTTTGTGGATATCCAACCAAATGTCCGTCTATATCCCAGGATATAGAAATTCAGATAAATATTTTATAATTATTTTTAGTAGAGGTTCATAAGTAACCAATGGTTATTGAATAACGTCGAAAGAAGTAAAAAATATTCCCAACAATCTGCCTTTGATTTTGCCTACTAAGGAGAAAATCATCCTTATTAGGAATCTTCAGCAATAAATAATAAATGGAACTTCTCGACTTCAGTCTCTAATGAATTCTGTTTGTGAAACAATGTCGATCAAACTCAATTACGGCGGGTTAAGCATGAGTAGATACAAAAGTGGTATCGCCATCTATACTTAGGAAGCAAAATCAAAAATTACATCTAGTAGATATCCACGATGGTTTGCGTCCGCGCTTAGACTTTGATATATTTATATTTATAGTGGATGTCCATGGGATATTGAATACACCTTAAAAAAAATTAATTTTAAATATCTCAACGGTACTATTAGCCACAATGGCGAGTACAATGGCGTAATTTTTTAATAATTTGCTATATAATTACAATTATTTATGGACATTTGCATGTCTATAAATTACATTTCATGGATATAAAATAGATATCCACCATTGACTGGACATTCAGTGGATATTGGGATGTTCAGTAGATATCCAAAGGATTTGGTGTGCTGTCTGGGCAAGAAGGCCGCTCGCAAACGGAAACGACCCGCTTTGAGCAATATATACATATATATGCGCAGCGTTGTTTATTGCTCATTTCACTCATCGGGAGTATTTATAATAACCATTTTCTATTTCTAAATAATAATAATAATTTTAACCCCAAAAGCTGAGATTGTTCGGGGAAAGGGATGATAGTGGGTATGGGGTGTAAGTCAAATGGCACCATCAATCCATCTTTAAGTCGCCCCGGAGCCCTACGGAAAATAATAATATAATTAATAGCCGTCCCTTTCCCCGGACAATTTCAGCTTTTGGGGTTAAAATTATTATTATTTATTTAGAAATAGAAAATGGTTATTATAAATACTCCCGAGATGTCTTTGCTCCCGAGTAAGTCAGTAAGATGAAAAATTCTACCCCACTCGCCCCACTCCAGCCACTCTCGTTTTGAATCTCTTTTGAATATGTCAAATGGAAGTATGTCAGAATTGTCAGAAAAGTTTGGTTATGGTTAAAAGTTTTAACAAATGTCAAAACAAAGACTTTTTTAAGCTCCGTAAACTCACAAATAAAAAGTTTTAACAGTCGAAAATATTGCAAGTAAAACCTTAAAGATAAAATCATAGAAAAATAAAAAAGATAAAATGGCAGATTACTGGAAATCCAACGAACGAAAATACTGCGACTTCTGCAAGTGTTGGATAGCAGACAACAAACCAAGTGTGGAATTTCATGAAAAGGGCAGACGGCATCAAGAAAACGTTAAGAAACGTTTAAAAGTAATTACGAAAAACAGTGCTAGAGCTTTTAAGGTCGAACAAAATGTTGATGCTGCAATCAAACAAATGGAAGCAGCTGCTTTGGCTGCTTATCGCAAAGATGTGGAAACTAACTCTAGCGCCGACTTAACGTCTCTAGCAATTGCCAAAAAATTAAAAGACGAAAATTTACAATTAAGAAATGATTCCAATAAAGTCTGGTATGAAGCAAAAACAAAAGAAGGACACACTTATTACTGGAACACAATAACGAATGAAACAGTATGGGAACCTCCAAAAGATGGTTTTTTAAGTATTGATGAACAAAGAGATGAAAAAGATCAAGAAGCATCTAAGCAGTTGAAAGAAATAGATAAACAAAGAAGACTAGAAGGATTGAAATTGGCACAGGTACAAAAAGCTGATGATGAAGAAGAAAGAGCAAGATTGGAACGAGAAAAACTCAAAGAAAGGAGGGTAAAGGAAGATAGTCCTCCACCTGTGTATGGTCCAATTATAGATCCAGGAAAAAATGATGCTTATGGAAAATGGCAAACTGTTAAAGAAGAGAAACTAGTGGATTTGCAGTTACCAGTTCAACAAGAATACTTTGAATGCCCTATTCAGTATGAACCAGAGCCAGTTAAAAGGGAATTTAAAGAAAAGACTATTGAAAGTTTGGATGTTTATGGACAGTCTTCATTCAAAAAGAGAAAAAAAATTATTGGAAGTAATAGGAATACTAGACAAAGGCTAGATGATGATTAAATGTAATTTGGGCATTTATTTGTTTTATGTAAATGGTTTTAGGTTTTTAAAGTAATTAGCAGAATGTAATTTATTTTATTACTATACTCTATTCAACTTAAATGCAAGTGTAAACACAATAGCTCCACAGCACATTGGGCTTGTGCCTATCATGCTGTGGTCAAGCTGCTATTGTGTTTACACATTACTTGCGTTTAAGTTGAATAGAGTATAATCATCAAATAAAATTAATGATTTCATGTATGTTATTATACACTACTCATAAACAAAGTACCTAGCATATTTTATAGGATGCAAGAAAGTGTCAAAATAGCTATTTTTAACTGGAGCTATATAAAGGATTCAATAAAAACTGCTGTGTTATGGACATCATAATTAGAAGAATCGGTATATTTTGTTGTTTTTCTACAGTGGCAATCATTCTGAAATGTCTGTCAGAAACTGGTTTATGATTTATCTATGAATAAGGTTTCATATAAAAGTATAGTTATTAATTAGTGTTTCTGTTATTTTTTGGAAAGGGAATTTATATAAAATAGGGTCATGGCACTACTTATGGCCACCTTAAGACAAAAATGCTTTTGTGGGGTCTGTTTTTCAATATTTTAACAGAAAAAATAAATAGAAATACTAATTGATAGGTTGAAGTATGTAGTTTTCAACAGTATATGTATTTATTTTGTTTATAGCCTGTAATTCTTTTTTACATTTTTTTTTTTTATAAAAGTGAAAGAAATTCTTTATTTTTGGCCATCAGTCCGCCACTAGTTCTCTACTTATGGCCACTAATTTTTAAGTTGCATTTTTAAATATTAATTTAAGTGCATGTTTATATTTTAATTTACATGTATGTACCTAGTAGTGATTTAGAATAAGTAGGGTATAACAAATTAAAATTTTTGCTAAAATATGAAATTTATTTTTCATGAACATTAAAGGTAACAGAGACCGACTTCAAGCACAAAGTGACAGCGAAGGAGACCGAAAACGGTCTCTAAACGTCCTGAACACATGTAATTAAATGAAACACATTTGGGAAGTCATGACTGACGACAGCACTTTTAGTACGATATGATTTGCTGCCTGCCACTTGAAGTCCGTATCGGTCTTGCCTTCCCAAATAGTACCTTAACACTTCCTAAAAATGTTATAACCAATTTTCAACCTTGTTCTACTAGAGAATGCTCGGTTAACAGTCCTAAAACATCAGATATGGGAACAGTGGAAATCTATTTTCAATATATATCCAAACGTAGTTTTTTCTTTGTGCTTTTTAAGCACTAGATTCCTATTTCATTCTCCATAGTTTGGAGAACAACATATTTATACACGGTCGATCTTCTTTTGCCACAGGCATTAAATTGTACCAATATAAAGTCGCTCGGTTTTAATGTTTTGCCTGTGACGGCCCACCCCCTGCCCCTCTTCATTTATGTTTTGTTCTTTATTTTACTCTTTCAAATGTTATTATTTACCTCACAAGTTTATTTTACTTTAAATTCTATACTTACTGTATTTGGCCTTTTTCCTCTAGTAGTAAAAGTGATCGTCTAGTTAATTAATTGATAATTTATATACCCACGTTGTGATAATGTTAATTAAGGTAAACCAGGATTCGATGCAAAGTTTGGTGCAAATTGATAAATAAAACCAGACAAAATTTATATTTAAACTCTTATTTTTCATACTTTAAATGTGATGCAATAATTAGCAAAGTATATTACAATTCTTACTATTTACTGAGATCTCACTTGAGTCCCGTTCAAACGCAGACCATATTCATTTGCTATCAATATATATTTTATTTAGGTTGATGACCAATGGAGTTAACGAACAGCGTCAATTCGCCAGTTGATTAACTACTGACTGTGTTGTTTATATTCTTATTTAAGTTGATGACCAACGAAGTTAACGAACAGCGCCAATTGGCCAGTTGGTTAACTATTTAGTTGATTTGATTCTTTTCTAGATATATACAGGTTGCACCCTCTTGGGTAAATATTACGATGAGTATAGAGGTGATGACCAACGGAAGTAAGAAACAGCGCCAATTCGCCAGTTTATTGCCTTACTATGTTGATTTCGCATTTACTTTGTTTCAAACCTTGTAGAACGGGTTGCTTAGCGTATAGGTGTCCCCCCTTGAGCTAACGAACAGCGTATTCGCCAGTTGGTTGACTTACTATTAAATTTTACCATCTTGATCGTTTGTACAATTTATCCAAGATAGCACATCCCTGTATATCTCTAAAATATTGATTTTTTTTTAATTTCTATTGAAAAGACAATACAACCCTGTATATGTTTTAATATTGATTATTATAATTTCTATTGAAATACTCAAAATGTCACCCATCGGAAACATGTTTATCCTTACTGTCTTTCGGGGTGTATGATCTGAAGGCCATGTGATTTATTGATAATATTTTGTAGCAAATGTCAAGCCGCGCTTAAATGAAACACCGGTGGTATCTCAAAGAAATTACATAAATCTTTTGACTCACCACTGAAAATACAGACATTAGATTATGTACTAATTTCATCTAGCGTTGTGACAGCGTCGATTTAGGTACGTTACAGCGTTAAGCGTCGAGGTGCCTAGCGTCGTGGTGGAAAGGAAGGTATTTTATACGGTACTGCATTGGGACAGATATACGGCACAATTATGTAGATGGTGCGGGACGTGATATTATGAAGGAAATATTTAGTGACGGCAAGCGTCGGACATTGAGCGTCGAAATGAGTGTACGGTAGGAAATACTTAGATGGTGAGGAATGTGACAGCGTTCGAAACGTAGGGAGTAGGACGGAGGGACGTTGGGCGTCGAGACGTTGACACCTTCGGGGATAGGAGGTATTGTAGGATAGACGTCGTTTAGGAAGAGCGTTTTAGGAAAGGTACTGACTGCTAAACTTGAAATATAACTGCATACAAATAATAAATGAATGCTTGCACATCAAATAATAATATTGAATGCATGTACATCAAATAATTAAAAATGAATCCGAGCTCATTTGGGTCTGGCTTTCTATAATAAAATTTTAATGTCTTTTGTGACGTCTCCATGTCTTTAGTTTTCATAGAAATACTGTGGGTGCAGGGGGTGGCTTATTTATTATGTGCCTTGAAAGCTTTGTGTATCGAAATATTGTCGAAATCGTCTTAACATCGAAACTAGCAAGATAAGCGAGTTAAGTGTTTTAATGATAATTACTTCGTGAAAGAAATATGTTTTAAGGTGTTTTCTTTCTCTAGGAACTCAGCCACGTGCACGAAATTTGGATCGTTTACGGACGTGGTTATAGCTATTATTTATTAGGTGTCGTAAATAAGATTTAATTATCTGGGAGATTTTTCGTTAAATGAAGGATTTTTAATTTAATAAGAATGCAATATTGTATTTAATAAATGGAATTAATAAATTATTAAGGTACCTGGGTGAGGTAGGTTACATGCCTAACTGCATAATTACTGCTGGTTCTATATCTGAGAAACTGCTGTCAGATGCCAGTGACATTTCATCTTCTTAGCTAAAAAACCAAGTAACTCCAACAACCCACAATAACTGCGGTAAAATATGAGATTTTACTTTTTGCCACTCTTGAGGCCATAACTCACGAATTTTTAATTTCTTGTCATTACTATAGTGGCCACACAGATATTTATTTTTATTTAAAAAAAAATATGATTTTGAAAACAAAATACATTGGGTATTAACATCTACTTACCTTTGGAATGGAAAGTTTTCCTTAACAAATCTGAGTTTTGTTCCAATGTTTACAGATATAAATTCTTATCCACAACAACAAGTAATGCTTGTATGTATTACACATGCTATTTATTTTACTGATTTCCAATGGACTTAGTTTATTAGTTACAAACCTGCTCAATCATGTAACCACATGCTCATTTACCTTCTCCAACCACCATTTTTGTTTACAATGTTGCCAAACGTTTATTTTTAGGTCTTAAAGTAAGAAATGGTCATAAGTAGGGTAGTAGCCATAAGTAGTGACATTACCCTAAATGGATTTAGTGTTGTGAAGGGAAAGGGCCTCCAATCTAAAATATAATTATGATATTGAAAATTACATGATAACTGAAAATGTTGACATTGATGAAGAATAGGAATATTTTGTAATTTTTTTAATGAACTACTAAGTATGTTGTGAATATACACACACGGCCAACTTCTAAAAAAAGGAGATCATATCAGAAATGTAAACATTTTTGGGATTGCTTTTATTGTTGCCACATAAAAAAAATGAAATACAAAATTATTGGTCCACAGATCCTTTAATAGCTACAGATTTTTTTGTGAAGTATATAACTAGAGACAGATTTATGCAACTATTGTGATAGGTATTTACATTTTGCTAATAATAATAACTTGGAAAATGATCAACTTTGGAAAGTAAAAAGTATTTTTGAATACATAAATCATACTTTTTCTGAATGTTTTTTATCCATTTCAAAAGTTGGTCATAGATGAATCAATAATTCTTTTCAAATAATATATTCCAAAGGCACAGATTTGGAATAAAAAAGTTCATTTTTTCTTTTGAATTGTGAGACAGGAATAGTTTTGAATGTTTTGATGTACAGTATGGTTCAAATGAAAGGAATAAATTCATTATAATGGAAGTAGTTGGTCTTTCGAAAAAATGCTCGGACAGGTCAATTTTGTTTACTCAAAGCGCAATTTTTTAAGTAAAATTCAATTTTCCCCCACTTCCCATTTTTGGGCAGTGACGTCATTGACAATTTTTTTAAATAGTAACCCCAATTTTTTTTTCTTGATTTTGTTAGATCTTGCTATTTCCTACTCGGAAACATAATATTTGAAATATCTTACATAACAATTTTTTTTGAATAAAAGTCATTTAAAGATCAGACACATAAATTTTATTTTATTTTGAGAACACAATAAATGAATAAAAGATAATTATTTGTAATTAAGTGCCTAATCTAACAAAATAATAATAATACTATTAATAATAATAATAAAAAAGGATTTGTGAAATTGTCATTAAATTCTTTTTATTATTATTATTTTTTTAGA